AACTCAATTCTGAGAGATTCATGGACCCGATATGACTTCCTAAACCCGCCAACACATCCCTCTTTGCATCTCTGCTTCCCATATTCACGATTATAAATAGAAACATATTATTGAGCACAGAGACATTTAGCTGGAGGATTTTTATAATCACAATACAGTGATTGTTTCCGTTATCTTTGCCTCCCTCCTGGTGTTTGGATCGGAGGTCGGTCGGCCTTGTATGTGCGTGTTTTATTTTGGGTCTCCTGGTTAAACTAAGCATGAATGGAGAATGTGTGTCATTTACAGTGAGCTTCCGCCCCGACTGGTCGCTCTATCTGAGGCTGGGATCGCCCGCCTCGACGAGGACAGGATCCGAGATAACAGCCAACACACACACACACAAACACACACCGGAGCCCTCTGCAGGTCCCACCCTGATACAGATCTTTGTTTGCCTTTGAACCAAACTCGGCAGAAACATAGGCCTGAATTTTGAGTTCAAACTACCTCCTGACACACCAAGCGCACTAAATTAAACTGGGTTTCGTGTTTCAGGTTTTCATACAGGCGGCCGCAGACGGGCAGATAAACACACGCTTTCCTGTGTCGGACTGTTTGATTCACAGCGGGGTTTTTTTGTTTTTTTCAAAGAATGTGGTAGAACTAGTTTCATAAGACCTCCACCCCCAAAATCAGGAACCACAAGTGTTTCAGGTTGTGTTGGACCACTTCAGCCCCCTTCAGGAGTCCCTCAAAAGACCCGAGTAGGTGGAACTGGTTCCCATGGCAACGGGCCAACACATAAAGTTCAAACCGGGGTCGGGGCGTTGGAGGTTTTTACGGATCCTCTCCCAAATCCCCCCCCCCTCACACGTTTCCACGCGTGCTTCTGCAGAGGAGCACGTGGGAACCCGAGAAGGTCCGATCCCAGAAGCAGATTCTTCACCCACAGAAGCCCGTCTCCTTGAGCACCTGTTGCCGTCGTTCACCTGTGTGTAACGTTTGCAGGGTCACACGACGACACCCACACAAAGGGACCACTGTTTGACTCCGTTATCAAAGGGTAAACTCAGAGAGTCCTCAGCTGTGAGACGCGTCAGCTGCACGGACGGCCGCGTCGGGACTCGTCAGGAGCGCAGAATGAACTCCATCCAAGGGGCTCGTCTGCTGTAGGATCTCTAAGCCGTCGGCTGGTGTCCTGTTTCTGCAACAAGCAGCTGATGATGAGGGGTGTGTGTGGGGGGGGGTCTATCGGACCGGCATCTGACCGAGGAGTTAATCCTTCACAATCCACAAAGATTACAGTGTTTTCTGGCTGCTATAATGCATCCCTCCGATTCTGCCTTTGAGATGTAGGGCTTGGCTGCAGTCATGGGGGGGCGGGTGCTGGTTTTTGGAGCGTCGGCCTTTCGGGAAAAAAAGCTCTAAATGCCAGTTTTGCTAAAGATACAGCAACGTAAAGCTCACACCTCAGACTTTTTAGTTTTTAGATGAATGTGGCTTTGGGGCCGTAAATCTTGTTAAATCGTTAACATGTAGTCTTTGTCTTTGTTCGACTTGTGTTATTGGGATTCTCACTATTGTTTGTCTTAGCACTTTAAATCACTTCTTTTCTTGAACAACAGCGTTCCTTTACATTTTTATCCAACAGACCTGCAAGTCCAATATTGGTCTTTTTGCTCCGTTTTTGGGCTGCACCAACAAACCAAGGTAAATGAATGTCTTTACCTGCTAAAAGCTGCACTACGTTCAGCAGCTGGTCTCTCACTGAATCTGCTATTTGGTACTTAGCAGTTATGACCTGTAGTTAATGCTCTTTGACTGAAAATTATGTGAACACAGTACAGTTGTGCAAAAGAAAACAGAAAAGAAAAAAAAACAAGTGCACAAAAGCGCTGACTGTAACATATTCTGATCCTCACAGACAGATAACAGATCATTTATTCTCCAAAAACGAAACCTTGTCTTTTATATAAACATGTTGTATCAGGTAGGCCTCCACGCTGTTTGTGAGGCTTGAACATAACAGACAGCTGATTAGAGGACTGGAGGAAGATTAAGCTTGAGATACACAGGGAGGGAGAGGGAGATGGTAGCAGATGTTTCTTTACAACAAGGACAGTATTGATGCAGATGTTTGTGTTTGACACTGAGACGGAACAGAGACATGCAGAAAATCAGCCACATGATATAAACAAAAGGATCAAGATATTCTGTAAAAGATTGGCCCAAAAAATGACATAAACTAATAATAATAATAATATTACCAAGTCAGATGCTTTTCATTTTAAATTCTATAAAAGTCTTAAAAGTCTTCTTGAGAAGAAGTTTGCGCATTGTAGTTTAACTTTTATTGAAAAGGGAGTTTGAGAGAGAATGTGTGTGCTGTTGTGTGAAGGTGAAACATCTAGAACAACCTCATCAGTGCGATTTGTTTTAACCCTCGTGATTCAGTGGCGGCGGTGATCATTTCTATTATAGACATATTTAAATAAAACATAATGTTCTCTGCTCAGGTTTTAAAACTCCTTAAAAACAAACCCTGAAACCCCCTTTGAAACCAGCTCACGACACAACAGAGTACAAAGTGAAACCATCAACTTAACGAAAGTTAATCAAATGTCTTCAAGACTCAAGCGTGAGAAAAGCGATAAGAGCGAATGAAAGAAATAAGTCGGCAGTTTGTTTTCTCCACTTTTACAACAGTTTTCCTTCCAGCTGTTTTTTTCTCGTGAGTGTGTATTTGTGAGTGTGTATTTACCGCAGCGTGACGCCTCGCCGGCTCCCACCGTAGCTGTTAATGAGTGACCATAAAACCTCAGAGGGAAAACACATCAACATTCCTCCTTCATTCTAATTCACTCTTCTAACTTTTCAAACACGCTGCTCTGCTTCTTACTGAGATCCAATATTTGAACCGGAGGATTATCGAGACGATTGGAGGGATCAGAAAAAAAATCCTCAATTTCAAAGGGTCTTTGATCAGGCCTCTGTGGTGCACCACGGTTTGGGAATCACACATAATAATATGAGGAGGGGGAAAAAAAGTGACCGTTTGGTATTATATATACATATATACACCACTGGGGTCAAAAGGTCACAATAATCTCCTGTTTTTTATTCTCCTGAATAGCCGACGAGGTCGTCCATGTGACATCAGCTGAGCGCCGATGCTTCATTAAAAGCGAAGAGAAACCACTGGGCTGCATCTGTATTGACTCTCCGTCCGTGCTCTTTGTTTCCTCTCCTCTCTCTGCGACTGTGTTTGACTTTCCCAGCAGACAGGAAGTGTCCCGTTCGCATCTGTCAATCATTCGCCGCCTCCCCTTTAGAGGGACCAATCGGGTGGCGGGAGGACTGACCGTAGAGACGCCACGCTCACTTCGTCGCTGGGAAAATAATATTTTATTACTTGTTAATCATTCCAAGCTCATTGTGACACTTTCCTTCTGAGATTGAACTCACTGGAAAGAATAAAGAGATTCACTCCTTAGGCCTCTTAAAATAATACAAGTGAAACGGTCAAAGGACAGCTGCAATAAATCTGGACTCATTGCGCAACAATACAACAGTCACAAACAGAAAACCAACAGTAAATGTGTCGTTTTCCACCAGTTTAACTGCAATAAAATGTGTTTGGACACCAAAAAACCAAAATGAGGACCTAATTCAACCCTTCACTGGTGTGCCTTTAACTTTTCGCTGCTTCATGCCTAATGTCGGTGTGTAGTTTAGTACTACCAGTAGTAGTAGTACTGGTAGTGACACTACTGGTTGCCAACACAAACACAGTCCTTCTTACTCCACAGGAATTAACGGAGTAAATCCGCTCGTGCCTCGGCTGGCTGTCAGACCAGATCTCCGCCGCTATGGTAACTGACGCTGGTGTGTGTGTGTACTAAATATATACTTACCTCCATCCTACATGCTAATAGCCTCACTGGTAGTACTACCACGGCAATGTGTCCAGTAGAGAATGCCAAAGAATACCCGGGTGTTGTACTTCTACTACAGTTGTGTTTTTTTTTCTATTTACAACACAATTGAGACCCACAAGCCTTTGCGCAGGAGGTATGCTCGCTGTTAACATTGTGTTATTTTCTGATACCGATGATGTGCTGATGTCATCGCGCAACCCGAGTGTTCATTATGTGTGTAGCTGACAGACACACACACACACACACACACACACACACACTCACTCTGACCCAACAGCTCGCAAATGCAGAGGCATCAGAAATGTACTATTCATGAAATAACTGACTCAACCTAAAAGCTCACAGCACTACTCAGCACTGTACTCAGTGTGTGTGTGTGTGTGTGTGTGTGTGTTGGATTGACACGCGCTGAGCTCACCCTCCTCCTGCCCGTTGAAAACACGCACAGATGGACTTTACTGTCTAAAAGCATCACGATTCTAATAGTTTGAGACCTGCTGTCACCCGTCACATGACGAAGGACATAAAGTGCCACAGAGATACAGTTCTATGACATCACAGTACGAGCTGACCTGCTACACACGGCTGCCTCTTGTGAACTGCACACACAGGCCATTTTTGTGGAGTGATGCATTGTGGGTGTGTGCCTATCGACTTGGGGATCCAATGCTTTATCAAAGAAGAATGGAATTCGGAGGTTCAAGCTGCTTTTCCAACTCAGCAGAGAAGGTTTGTGTCTTAAATAATGACCCAAACTGTAAAAGTGCCACGATACAGAAAATAAGCCACAGTTATTAAACGACTTCGGCTTTCGACTTTCTTTGAAACCAAAGACTCAAACATTGAGCTGCAGCGCCACCTGGTGGTGATTCATGGTAATAAACCAATTACTGGAGAATCACGTTCTACCACCAATGAAACGTGTGACTTGATTGTTCAATATGATTCACTAGTGGAGATGTATTGACTTAATTTACATTCCCATTCTGTAGTGTTCAATCATTAAATAGACCTCTCTAGAATGAAGGGAAGGGACAAACAGGGACTGAAGAGGACACACACGGTCCAGTGTGTACTCACGTGTGGCGGTGTGTTGTTGTTGATCTGGTCCTGACTGGGGGGGGGGGATCCTGCAGGGTGACAGTCCAGTGACACCAGGTCCCGACAGTCGGCGTGACACGTGTACTTACAACCTGCAGAGAGAGAGAGTCATGAACCAAGGGAAGGACAGGGAGAGGTTGTGTGTGTGTGTGTGTGTGTGTGTGTGTGTGTGTGTGTGTGTGTGTGTGTGTAACGCACATGCAAAACGATCCTGTGTTATCGCCAAACGTCAGTTGAGGTCAGAGTTTCATTTGCAAATGAAATCTGACAACATGCAAAATATGAAGGAAGAAAATGTCTCCAAAAACAAGGTCACACAAGATTTGACCTGAATAAATGTTACAAAAGCTTTTACAACATTTGGAAGTTTAACAAATTACTCCACATTAAAAAAAATGAGAAAATGAAAGGCTGCAAAGAGTTGAGAAGAAGTAAGAAAACGGACTAAATATTTGTAATAATGAATTATTATTCAATAATTGGCATTCTATGTTGTCTAATTGATAATAAAAAGCAAATATATTCTCAGAAATGATGTTATATTAAGTAAAATCCTCACACAAAAGTTTACAAACCGTGTGGTTATTTACATATACACTATTATATTGTGAATATATTAAATCATTTCATATTTATACACATACACATACAAACGAGCCTTTTACAAAAACAAAGACCTGGTGAGAGAAAAGCTTCAGATGACGTCTGGTGACAAACGGAGGCACTTTCAGTGTTTCTACACCGAAGTAAAATAGTACAAACACACACACACACACACACACACACACACACACACACTCCCTACCTGGTGACCTCTTTTTCACGTGCTGTCCGACTTTATCCGACAGTTTGCACATGGCTGCTCCCATCGCCCATCTTCATCTCACACACACACACACACACACACACTCACTCTCTCTCCATGCAGATGTCTCTCGGCCCAACATCCAGCCCCTGTCTCACGCCCATCAGATGCTGTTCTCTGTCGGTCTCTCTGCTGAGTGGGAGGTTTAACAGTCAAACGGAGGCCACGGAGTGATGAACATGCAGATGAGGAGAGGATGAAGCTGCTGGATGAAGGACTGCTGACTCAGGCTTCCACAGCCTTTCTCTCTCTCTCTCTCTCTCTCTCACTTTAGTCGCTTGTTATGACCATGGTGTCTCCCCGGCTTCCTGCTGCAGCTCTCCCTCCACTCATCCGTTCATCCTCCTGACAATGAACCCGATCCCCGGAGGCGGAGCCTCTCCACATAGCTCCGCCCACCACGCTTGTGCTCAGTGCGTGGCTTTGTGTTTCCCGTGAAACGATCTCAACAACTATCGCGTCGATCGCCGTTACAATCTGCCCTGGTGTTCATGAATGTGATGAATCTCAGTGGTCTGTAAATCGCCACACAGAAGGCTCTTATTGTGAAAGGTCAGAAACCACCAACCGGACAGTTTTCTTTCTCCTGTGTGAGACTTTTTTTCTTTTTAGCAAAGTCTTTCTAATTATGTCTGTGTGTGCAGAGAGAAGCTCAATGAGCCTTCAGCGTCTGAAGCAAACACACTCCACCCAGGGGTCAAAGGTCAGTGGGAACACAGCAACCCCAAAAGAACGAAAGCAAGCAGACGGGATGTTTTAAGTTAAAACATTTTAGTGATAATGTTGGTCATTTTATTTTTGTATTATTTATATTTGTTAAATGATTCAGTATAAACTTGTTTGCAAATGCAAGATATTCATGAACGTAATTGTCAAACTCTAAAGACGAAGGAAGAGATTTAAATCTGTTAACAGTACAGAGACAGGTGTGTGTGTGTGTGTCATCTAATCTATTCTGTTATTTCTTTCTTCTGTTCTACATGTTAGGACGTGTGTTGATCTAGTAACCAAGAATATATATTGTTATGTGACACACGCACACACACACACACACACACACAGTACGCATGAACACAACGTTTCCAGTTTCTTCTCATAAAAGCAGCAGACGAATCTCTTCTCATTTTAATATTTTGTCCCTACTCTATTTGTTCCTGTTTTTTTCGGGACTCACCGGAGTTCCTCCACAGCAGACGGAGCTCCAGGCGAGAGAAGAACCTCGACACTCTCCTCAAAGTCTCGCCGAAGCCCATCGCTCACACGCAGACACACAAGTACACGCGTCCTAATGTGTCCAAGAGCCCAGATGTGTGATTTAAATCCAGAGGTGACTCCATGTAGGTCCCAGATCGTCCTTCGCCGTCCCCCCAGGACGTGTCTCTGTCTCCGCTCAGGTCTGAACTGGTGCATCGCTGTCTGTCTCTCACACACACACACACAGACGCACAAACACACACACTGCGACCCCTTATTCTCAGCCGTCCCTTGTTTGTTCAGTCGCTGTGACAGTTTGGTGCTACAAGAGACACACTCATCTGTTGCGGCTGATAACACACAATGACACACACACGCGCACACACACACGCACACACACACGCACACGGCATTTTGCACAATGGTTCAAAATGAGGCTCCGTCAGCCGTAATAAACCACACTACCACGTGAAGTGAAGAATCACAAAGCATCAACCTTCAGTTGGACAACAGTCGATATTACAAATAACAAATGAGATATTTAGTGCTTTTCCACTGATGTCAAACGCATGTTTATGTGAACATACATGATGACCGTGTATGTTTATATGAACATACATGATGACCGTGTATGTTTATATGAACATACATGATGACCGTACCGTCTGCATTGAGAGCAGCTGCAGGAAACAAGTGTTTTTTTCTGTTCTATTATGTTAAAAGCAACAAAGAACAGATGGAAAGCAACGAACCGGGCGGACGCGGTTCGCACTTAAACGACTCACAGACACACACTTGTGTTCCCGCTGCAACATTAAACCTCGTCGCACAAAGCCGTCCCCGTCCCACCGGCGGGTTTCTGTTACTTCGTCTCGAGAAATGAGACAAAAAGGCCACAGGGCGAGAGAGAGAGAGAGAGAGAGAGAGACTAACCCACTTCAGTCTGAATACATGAATTAAACTGGGAAGAAGTCACTGGTGCAGTGAAAGTAAATGTACTTCACTTGATTAAATGACACTTTCTGCTACAACGTCACTACATTTCATGTATGCTTTGTGATTTTTACCCCCTTAAAAATGATGTGAACAGTTTTTGTATTTATTTTTTAAATGATTTAGACGTTTGGACTGTTGGTCTAATAAAAACACACATTGTCAAAGTGGCCCTATTTTCAGAATTTAAAAAAACAATTTGGGTCACGTGGGTCTTCACAACACGTGAGTGATCAGTGAACGTCTCTAACATGAATATGAAGCTCATTCCAAACCATCTAAAGCTCTGGACCCAAATATCTCCTCAATTAATGCTGAGAGACATTCAAGAGTTTTCGCATCATCGCTATTTGGAGGTTAATAGGATTTATTTTCTTACATTTTAGCTTTTTAAATGTGTCTTAACTCCAATTAAATAATTTCACCAAAAAGAAAAAGCAGAATTTATTACTTAAATCAACCTCTGTGATGTAAAGTGGAAAAGCTCAACCTGCTTTCAGCATCAGAAATTAATCTTTGAGAGAAATAACAGAGCTGATGAGTGACTTCTGAGAGTTAATAAGTGAACCAGCGAGACTCGTGTTCATCTGGAAGAAGGTTGTGTTGGAGCATTTTAAACGAGGGCACACACACACACACACACACACACACACACACACACACACGCGCACACACGCGGGTAAACAGATTGAGGTTAAAAGGACAAAGTAAGAGAACGGTTTGTCTGCTTGGTTCTAGCGTTTTATATTTCCCATGTGACTGGTTGCCGTGGACGACGGGGCCCCATCACCTCCTTGACACAGAGACGCTTTTCCCTGCTGTTTGTGGTGCTTTTGTGTCTTAAAAGGTGTCCTGCGAGTCTCGTCTCAGTGGTTTTGCATCTTTTTGTTTTATTCTTTGTCTCTCTTTAAAGTTCCACATCAATGTTTCGCAACGATTGCAGTGTGATGGAATTCGCGGTATTGTGTAGTATCGGTCCACTCCTCCTTCAAGGAATCATCAATCCACCCGAAGAAGTTTACATAGAATTAAACCTCTTTGTTCGAAGTGATAAATAAATACTTCACGAGATTATCCTTTGTGTTTAAAGCTGCACGACACAACACAGATGTAGAGAAAAGGAGGAAGTATATCGATCATGTTCAGTCACTTCTCTGTTACCCAGAGAGACGTGCGGCCTCCTTTTAGACCCGAACCGGTCCGTCCGCATTCCGGACCGCATTCCGGATGCTTCGCCGCTTCGAAACCCCGCCCACTCGCTTTGTCAAAAACAAGCGCTCCCCCCGCATGTCACTGTGATAAAATGATCCAAATGGCGTTTGTGTGTCTGCAGAGATAAGAGGACTCATTCAATGAGAGCTTCATATTTATATCACATTTCTTTTCTTGAAAAGTCCGAATGGACAAACAATTATTTCCATCACAAAGTATTCTATAGATTTAGAAATGTGTGGAATGCCAGAAATGATTCCTATAGTCAAAGATAATATATAATATATTATTATTATAAAATGACATGTAACGCAATGTAATGTAAACCCAACACACCAAAGTCTGACACCCGGAACAGGGGTCACCCCCCCCCCCCCCGGACCAGCACTAAGCCCCCCAGACTCACCTGCACAGGTGACTCCGCATTGAAGGATGTAGCGGCAGCAGAAGTCACACCAGGTGTCCTCGCCTCCGGCCACGAAGGTGTGTCCCTCCCCGGACTCCTCTCTGACCCTGGGGTCCTTCTCTCCCGGGGAGAAGATGGTCCTCACGTCGGGGGGTCTGAACCCCTTCTTCTTGGCCCGCGGGGGCCCCCCGCCGCGACCCTCTGACCCGCTTCTCCCGTCGCAGCTCGGCGAGCACTCCCGGTGTCCCTTCCCGCTCCAGGCCGCCTGCAGGCTCTCCAGGGAGGCCGGCAGAGGTGCCGTGTGCGGCCGGACCGCCTTCAGGTGCGCTGCGCCCTTTCCCGCCCTGGGGATCCGCAGCTTCGCGCCGGGGGGCGACCAGGGGGTCTCCGGTGCCTGCTTCGGCGAAGCCGGGAGAGGTGACGGAGAGTCCCCCTGATCCGAGAAGCGCACGGGGGCATATTTCCGACCATGGTGAGAGACGTTGAACATCACGTCAGCTCCTTAAGCTCCGCCGCGGTTCACTCGGTGGACAGAAGCGCCGACAGGTGTGTGACGTCATCGGAGACGCCGACCGGAGAGCTCGCGTGTGGTTGTCGGTGGGGCCGGGCGAGGCGGTCCGAGGAGAGCAGGAGAACCGGTCGGGTCTCATTTCACAGCGAGCAGCGTCACGTGGTAGATTATCCATTATTCGAATGTCACGGAGCGGAATTTCAGTTCAAACTACATTCAAGCCAGTCAGTGAATTAATGAGACTGTTTTCTTTAATTCGGTGTAAAATTAATGATTTAACACCAAACATACAATTCAGTTTTAACTCTTATTTGGGGTCGGCCTGTTGATATAGTGACCGAATATATGACACAGTGGGTCTAATCTCTAAATTGAGTTTTAATAAAAGCAAACTGCTCCTATTTTATATGCCCAATAATTCACTTGTCAGTTGAGGGACCACTGAGAACGTAATTAGAACACGAAATACTGGAAACCAATTACAGGACATTTAAATTGGGCACAGTGCAGTTCCTCATTTGGCCACAAGGTGCCGCTTTCTCTTAAAACGCCTCTTTCGGACCCGTCCAGTGGATTTTAACATTGAAAAGTTTGACACAATCAAGTAATTTTACGTTCGGCGTTCACAGGAATGTAGTTAATCATTTTTAACTTCTCCCAAATGTGGCCAAAATTTGCCTTTTCAGCCTTGTACTTAAATCTACTTGAACTTTTCAGATTAATGTCCTCAATTTAATATTCAATAGCAAATGACCAGTTTATACTCTACACCGATTTTCTGCTGCACTGAAACATTTAATGTTTTAAAACAAAACTTTACCACATGAGTAAGAATCACTTGATATTAAATGAGATTTTATTACAAACAATACAGTTCATGTTAATTTACACAACGGACAGTATACATTTAAATTAATTTTTGTAAAAAAGTGCAAATAATAAAAAATATATATTTCATTTTTTCCAGCGCAAATACTGATTTAAAATGACCAGTTTCCCCTTATTTCCCTGAAAAGACACATTTTTTTTTAATGAAATCACATTAAAAAGTTGCACAACAATACTTGTGTCTTTGGCTGAAGGTAATTGGCACCAAATAAACCTGAACAAAAACTATTCATGAAAAATAATCTCATTTAAATACAAAAGAAGACTCTTGGAGGAAAGTTAAACTCCTTTCTGCTCACTGGCTGTCGTCCTCATCGTCACTGTAGAAGGCATCTTCCTGTGCAGCAGAAACAGGAGTATTAGCGTGTGTGTGCGTGCGTGCGTGTGCGTGCGTGTGCGTGCATGTGCGTACATATCCTCCATGCTGCTGGGTCCAGGGGGAATAGTAGTGCTGCAGGTACCGGGCTCCGTGGTCCAGCAGTCGGTTCCTGGGCAGCGGGTGGAACTCTGACAGGCGGGTGGTGACCTGCAGACAACATCTTCACGTCTTCAACACTTTTTTTATTTTTAAACTCTGCTCCTCATTTTTTAATTAATTAAATTTAGCTCCCTTCGGCTGCTGTCACCTCGCAGGCCACGGCGATCTGGGTCTTGGGGGAAGCTTTGGGCCCCGGGGAGTCGGGGTTGGGGCTCTTGAGGCCCATTCTCGTGAGGAAAGTCGACATCAGCATCTCAAAAAAACCGTAGTCCCAAGACAGCTTGGTGGTCAAGTCTTTGAGCTCCTGGTGGGGGCCACAAACACTACATTTATGACCAGAATAGTGTGCGTGAATCCATTACTGTTTTTATACTACAGAGAGAAATGGAGACGGCCTCAGAGACTTTTTAGTTTCTAAAACAACAACATCTGATAAAAGTCGCTTGGACGAAATCAAACACATCGGGAGGAGAAGGATGTTCCTCACCGCCTCGTTCAGGTTGTCTCCAGCCTCCCTCAGCAGCAGACCGATCATCTTCTCCACGTTCTCATTCGCATCTTGAGCAGAAAGAAAAACAACGAGGTTGACATATGAACAATCTGTCCCTCGCTTTGACACCTCGGATGATTCCCAGGAGGACGAACGCTCTGCGGCGTCACGTTTAGGGGCATCAGGTCTTCAGTAAAAGGAAACGGGAACTTACCGGATATACCGTCCGTCTCAATATCTGGACGAACAAACGGGATCTCGTCGGCCATCTTGGTCAGTCTTTCTGCTACCTCGTTCAACTCTTCTTCTTCTTCTTCTTCTTCTCCTTCGTCTTCTCTAACAAATACAGCTGAAAGAATGGATCGTATGTTAAGGTCATTTGTTATGATGTATTGTTGTCTTTCATTATCGATCATAATCTGACTATTACTATAATACTTTAATTGACACAATAATGGAAAACGCCTGCTGTTTTTATTTCAACAGCCACAGGTGTAATAAATATAAAATATATGATCCATTACCCTATAAACAAAAGAAAAGCATTGATTCTCAAGAGGAGATTTTATGATTTAATGGTTCTTTTCATGAAAGAATAACTGAAAGCAGTTCATTAAGATGATTGCATATTAACTAGAGAGAATAATCCAGCAGGAGGCTGATGAACCGAATCTTTCCTCTTTAGTTGTGTTCAAGTAAGTTTGACTGTTAAGGAATAAAAATGTAAACGTCCCCAAGTATGATGTATAGGACACAACACAGAGCTCTGTCTTCATTTTGCACACTCCGATGATGGATGATGAAAGTATTGATCGTCCCCACACTGATCAGCGGCGTTCTCCTGGTTCTCACCTCTTTTCGGAGCACATCGGTCGTCAGGCGGACTCGATCCTCGGCTCGCTTCTTCGTCTTCAGTCTGAGGTTTGGTGCAGCTAAAAATGTTCCGTGTCAATCGCAGCAGCATCCTCTTCTTCTTCCTTTTCTTCTTCCCAGTCAGCTGCTCCGTCTCCGTCGGGGCCGAAGGCGCCTCGGCCTTTGAGGCGGCTGCGTCCTGTGCAGGCGATCCCTTCTGAGGTCGCCTCCTCTTGGCGTAGGCCATGAGGACCCTGAACTCCACCGTGTCCTCCATGCTGCCGGGCTCGGGGTCGGGGTCCGGGCTGACGCTGGGTTTGGCAAAGGGGTCGTGGATCTGAACGTGTCCGTTCGCCATGGCACTTCACTGTTGACGGATCAAATTATATTAAAGATCAAACTCTGACAACAACAAGTGTTTACCATAAAATTTGTTATTGTTTCTAGGAATCAGTTGTTGCTTTTGACTTCAATTGAATTGTAATGAAAGAAAAGTCGGAGTAAATAATTTGTCTATAGATGATTCTCACATGTGATTAGATCTGCTTTTATCAATGTTGATTTTCACTGTAAACAGAGTATGAACTTTGTTTTGTTTAATCTCTATTGTTCTGCAACTGAAGACGACTTTCATTATTGACAAAGAAAGAAATGACCTTTAATAATGTGGAATACAAATGGGTTTAGAGTCTTTAAATCTACGGCCCCTGGTGGTCATAAGTGAGCATCACACTTCAATAAACCGCCATAGTCTCTTTAAATAAGTTTACGTTGACGAAACTCTATAAAAACCATTAATCTTTACCATAAACACACAACAAAAATCAGCCTGGGATTTAAAAACAAGTTAATTAAATGTTACACGGTAAGTTTAATACATAAAGACCGTTTTCCGTTGAGGTGTAAAGCTTGAAACGTGTATGTTTCACTGTATCGTATCATCACTTTATAGCTTCACTTTGAGACATCGGACTTTGTTCATTTAACAGCAAGTTCACCGCTACTTAGGAAATAGCATCGCAAATGCTAACGGTTAGCTTCCTGGTCGACATCTTCTCTCTACTAAAAATTACGAAATTCAACGGAACACGAACTTTGACCAACTTTAATGTACGTACAATATTTATATTACAAAACCATAAATACTTACGGTCCAAAGGAGTAAAAAGAAACACCAAGTAGGCGCCAGGTGACCGCTTCCCGGTACAGTGGGACGAATAACGACGCCGCTCGAGTCCAGGTGCATTTAAAGACTCCGGGACGACGTGCTCGTGTACGTCCGCGTCACGTGTTACGTGATGACGCACGACACGGGACATTTAACGTGTCAGGAAGCTCCTCGTGTGCTTGTTTTCTGGGTTTTGGTTACGGTTTTTTTTTTATATCTCGTACAGTTCTTTTTCAATAAATGATCCCTTTGACAGAAAATATAGAGTATTTTTATTCACAAGTGATGTTTCTACCCGAGCACAAAGAATCTCTGAAACTGAAAGTGAAACTGATCGTGACACAGCAAAACACTTCAGCTTTTATTTATTCTAAAATGATAAGATTACTCAAATGTTGTTACAACTGTACAGTCTGGCATGCTTTGTCGTTATGCCTCGCAAAATACGTACATGCACACTTTTTGCGTCTTGAACTTTTAAAAGTTCATCCCGAAATAAATAGGTGGGGATTTTCTTTTGTGAAACCACAAAGTCAGTTTTTGTTTTGCTTTGAATGGTGTGTCAGTAGTGCCACAGCCTTGTTCAACATCACAACATAAATATTTTCATTGGGGCAGTAGTGTTAACCAGAGAAACAAAAGGGGAAATGTTACATGTAACCTACATTAAGAAAGAGGAAGCTGCCGTTAAAATATTAAAAGGTTGGGCCCCTTAGAAAATAATCTACCACGGCTTCACAAACATCTAAAAAGGGATGAGACAACATACAATTCCCCCTCTCTTTCCAAGAAGTGATGCATTTCTAAATATTTTCTGACTGAAGGCTGATTCGTGAGGGGAAATAAAGGAGCACATGAGTCCAACACGCCTACATGACTCATCATGTTACACATTAACCCAAAAGAACTTTGATGCCAGTGTAGCATTTTAGCTTGTTAATTCAAACGCACAGGTTTATTTGTCAGACAATGCGTCTTTTTAAGGTGTCACAAGTGAAGGTTGGAATCCGCGGATCAATAAGACACCGCAGGACCCATTTCAACCAGTAAAGACCACAGGAGAAGCCATGATCATTTTGGTTTACACGGTTAGAATTATGAGCCGAAGCCCAAATTATGACATGAAAAGTCAAAGTTAGAAGATGTAAACTCAAAATGAGGAAACAACAACTGACATAACTCGACCCAACTGGGACCAGAACTCCTTCAAGTGCGGTAAACAGATTGAGGTTAAAAGGACAAAGTAAGAGAACGGTTTGTCTGCTTGGTTCTAGCGTTTTATATTTCCCATGTGACTGGTTGCCGTGGACGACGGGGCCCCATCACCTCCTTGACACAGAGGTGACCTCAGAGACGCTTTTCCCTGCTGTTTGTGGTGCTTTTGTGCGTCTTAAAAGGTGTCCTGCGAGTCTCATCTCAGTGGTTTTTTCATCTTTTTGTTTTATTCTTTGTCTCTCTTTAAAGTTCCACATCAATGTTTCGCAACGATTGCAGTGTGATGGAATTCGCGGTATTGTGTAGTATCGGTCCACTCCTCCTTCAAGGAATCATCAATCCACCCGAAGAAGTTTACATAGAATTAAACCTCTTTGTTCGAAGTGATAAATGAATACTTCACGAGATTATCCTTTGTGTTTAAAGCTGCACGACACAACACAGATGTAGAGAAAAGGAGGAAGTATATCGATCATGTTCAGTCACTTCTCTGTTACCCAGAGAGACGTGCGGCCTCCTTTTAGACCCGAACCGGTCCGTCCGGATTCCGGACCGCATTCCGGATGCTTCGCCGCTTCGAAACCCCGCCCACTCGCGTTGTCAATAACAAGCGCTCCCCCCGCATGTCACTGTGATAAAATGATCCAAATGGCGTTTGTGTGTCTGCAGAGATAAGAGGACTCATTCAATGAGAGCTTCATATTTATATCACATTTCTTTTCTTGAAAAGTCCGAATGGACAAACAATTATTTCCATCACAAAGTATTCTATAGATTTAGAAATGTGTGGAATGCCAGAAATGATTCCTATAGTCAAAGATAATATATAATATATTATTATTATAAAATGACATGTAACGCAATGTAATGTAAACCCAACACACCAAAGTCTGACACCCGGAACAGGGGTCACCCCCCCCCCCGGACCAGCACTAAGCCCCCCAGACTCACCTGCACAGGTGACTCCGCATTGAAGGATGTAGCGGCAGCAGAAGTCACACCAGGTGTCCTCGCCTCCGGCCACGAAGGTGTGTCCCTCCCCGGACTCCTCTCTGACCCTGGGGTCCTTCTCTCCCGGGGAGAAGATGGTCCTCACGTCGGGGGGTCTGGAACCCTTCCTTCTTGGCCGCGGGGGCCCCCCGCCCGCGAACCTTTGACCCGCTTCTCCCGTCGCAGCTCGGCGGAGCACTCCCCGTGTCTCTTCCCGCTCCAAGCCGGCTGCAGGCTCCTCCAGGGAAAGCCGGCAGAGGGCCGTGTGCGGCCGGACCGCCTTCAGGTGCGCTGCGCCCTTTCCCGCCCTGGGGGATCCGCAGCTTCGCGCCGGGGGGCGACCAGGGGGTCTCCGGTGCCTGCTTCGGCGAAGCCGGGAGAGGTGACGGAGAGTCCCCCTGATCCGAGAAGCGCACGGGGGCATATTTCCGACCATGGTGAGAGACGTTGAACATCACGTCAGCTCCTTAAGCTCCGCCGCGGTTCACTCGGTGGACAGAAGCGCCGACAGGTGTGTGACGTCATCGGAGACGCCGACCGGAGAGCTCGCGTGTGGTTGTCGGTGGGGCCGGGCGAGGCGGTCCGAGGAGAGCAGGAGAACCGGTCGGGTCTCATTTCACAGCGAGCAGCGTCACGTGGTAGATTATCCATTATTTGAATGTCACGGAGCGGAATTTCAGTTCAAACTACATTCAAGCCAGTCAGTGAATTAATGAGACTGTTTTCTTTAATTCGGTGTAAAATTAATGATTTAACACCAAACATACAATTCAGTTTTAACTCTTATTTGGGGTCGGCCTGTTGATATAGTGACCGAATATATGACTAACAGTGGGTCGAATCTCTAAATTGAGTTTTAATAAAAGCAAACTGCTCCTATTTTATATGCCCAATAATTCACTTGTCAGTTGAGGGACCACTGAGAAAGTAATTAGAACACGAAATACTGGAAACCAATTACAGGATATTTAAATTGGGCACAGTGTAGTTCCTCATTTGGCCACAAGGCGCCGCTTTCACTTAAAACGCCTCTTTCGGACCCGTCCAGTGGATTTTAACATTTAAAAGTCTGACATAATCTTTCAGTAATTTTACGTTCGGCGTTCACAGGAATGTAGTTAATCATTTTTAACTTCCCCCAAATGCGGCCAAAAGTTGCCTTTTCAGCCTTGTACTTAAATCTACTTGAACTTTTCAGATTAATGTCCTCAATTTAATATTAAATAACAAATGACCCGTTTATACTCTACACCGATTTTCTGCTGCACTGAAACATTTAATGTTTTAAAACAAAACTTTACCACATGAGTAAGAATCACTTGATATTAAATGAGATTTTATTACAAACAATACAGTTTATGTTCATTTACACAACGGACAGTATACATTTAAATTCATTTTTGTAAAAAAGTGCAAATGATAAAAAATATATATTTCATTTTTTCCAGCGCAAATACTGATTTAAAATGACCAGTTTCCCCTTATTTCCCTGAAAAGACACATTATTATTTTTTTATGAAATCACATTAAAAAGTTGCACAACAATACTTGTGTCTTTGGCTGAAGGTAATTGGCACAAAATAAACCTGAACAAAAACTATTCATGAAAAATAATCTCATTTAAATACAAAAGAAGAGTCTTGGAGGAAAGTTAAACTCCTTTCTGCTCACTGGCTGTCGTCCTCATCGTCACTGTAGAAGGCATCTTCCTGTGCAGCAGAAACAGGAGTATTAGCGTGTGTGTGCGTGCGTGTGCGTGCGTGTGCGTGCGTGTGCGTGCATGTGCGTACATATCCTCCATGCTGCTGGGTCCTGGGGGAATAGTAGTGCTGCAGGTACCGGGCTCCGTGGTCCTGCAGTCGGATGGGCAGCGGGTGGAACTCTGACAGGCGGGTGGTGACCTGCAGACAACATCTTCACGTCTTCAACACTTTTTTTATTTTTAAACTCTGCTCCTCTTTTTTTAATTAATTAAATTTAGCGCCCTTCGGCTGCTGTCACCTCGCAGGCCACGGCCATCTGGGTCTCGGGGGAAGCTTTGGGCCCCAGGGAGTCGGGGTTGGGGCTCTTGAGGCCCATTCTCGTGAGGAAAGTCGACATCAGCATCTCAAAAAAACCGTAGTCCCAAGACAGCTTGGTCAAGTCTTTGAGCTCCTGGTGGGGGCCACAAACACTACATTTATGACCAGAATAGTGTGCGTAAATCCATTACTGTTTTTATACTACAGAGAGAAATGGAGACGGCCTCAGAGACTTTTTAGTTTCTAAAACAACAACATCTGATAAAAGTCGCTTGGACGAAATCAAACACATGGGGAGGAGAAGGATGTTCCTCACCGCCTCGTTCAGGTTGTCTCCAGCCTCCCTCAGCAGCAGACCGATCATCTTCTCCACGTTCTCATTCGCATCTTGAGCAGAAAGAAAAACAACGAGGTTGACGTATGAACAATCTGTCCCTCGCTTTGACACCTCGGATGATTCCCAGGAGGACGAACGCTCTGCGGCGTCACGTTTAGGGGCATCAGGTCTTCAGTAAAAGGAAACGGGAACTTACCGGATATACCGTCCGTCTCAATATCTGGACGAACAAACGGGATCTCGTCGGCTATCTTGGTCAGTCTTTCTGCTATCTCGTTCAACTCTTCTTCTTCTTCTTCTCCTTCGTCTTCTCTAACAAATACAGCTGAAAGAATGGATCGTATGTTAAGGTCATTTGTTATGATGTATTGTTGTCTTTCATTATCGATCATAATCTGACTATTACTATAATACTTTAATTGACACAATAATGGAAAACGCCTGCTGTTTTTATTTCAACAGCCACAGGTGTAATAAATATAAAATATATGATCCATTACCCTATAAACAAAAGAAAAGCATTGATTCTCAAGAGGAGATTTTATGATTTAATGGTTCTTTTCATGAAAGAATAACTGAAAGCAGTTCATTAAGATGATTGCATATTAACTAGAGAGAATAATCCAGCAGGAGGCTGATGATGGAAACCAAATCTTTCCTCTTTAGTTGTGTTCAAGTAAGTTTGACTGTTAATGAATAAAAATGTAAATGTCCCCAAGTATGATGTATAGGACACAATACAGAGCTGTGTCTTCATTTTGCACACTCTGGTGATGGATGATTAAAGTATTGATCGTCCCCACACTGATCAGCGGCGTTCTCCTGGTTCTCACCTCTTTTCGGAGCACATCGGTCGTCAGGCGGACTCGATCCTCGGCTCGCTTCTTTGTCTTCAGTCTGAGGTTTGGTGCAGCTAAAAATGTTCCGTTTCCATCGCAGCAGCATCCTCTTCTTCTTCCTTTTCATCTTCCCAGTCAGCTGCTCCGTCTCCGTCGGGGCCGAAGGCGCCTCGGCCTTTGAGGCGGCTGCGTCCTGTGCAGGCGATCCCTTCTGAGATCGCCTCCTCTTGGCGTAGGCCATGAGGACCCTGAACTCCACCGTGTCCTCCATGCTGCCGGGCTCGGGGTCGGGGTCCGGGCTGACGCTGGGTTTCGCAAAGGGGTCGTGGATCTGCACGTGTCTGTTCGCCATGGCACTTCACTGTTGACGGATCAAATTATATTAAAGATCAAACTCTGACAACAACAAGTGTTTACCATAAAATGTGTTCTAGGAATCAGTTTTTGCTTTTGACTTCAATTGAATTGTAATGAAAGAAAAGTCAGAATAAATAATTTGTCTATAGATGATTCTCAGATGTAATTAGATCTGCTTTTATCAATGTTGATTTTCACTGTAAACGGAATATGAACTTTCTGTTTTGTTTAATCTCTATTGTTCTGCAACTGAAGACGACTTTCATTATTGACAAAGAAAGAAATGACCTTTAATAATGTGGAATACAAATGGGTTTAGAGCAGGGGTCTCAAACTCAAATCAGCTGCGGGCCAGATGCAGCCCACTTCAACCGAACGCGGGCCAGACTAGCGCCCGAACGGCATGGTCGACAATAACACAACTTAACACTCACTTTCAAAAGCAGTCATTGAACCCCACCCTGGGGGATCGGTCCCAATGAGACTACAACACTAGTCCTCCTTTAACTCAGCGGGGGAGACCTAAGGTCATGTGACCGTGGAATTCCTTTATAGCCAAACGTGAAGTTACGTGAATCGAAGCTGCGTAGTAATGGACGGAGACGCTCGTCGGTGACGTCAGATGCTTCATGTGTTGTTAGTGTGAGTCGTAAAGGAAAACTTTATTAAACGAGCGATGCTGACGGTTAGTCACATGATCACCTGCGCGAAAGAGGGCAGGAAACTGAATTTCACCCTCCTGCTCTCTGCACCTCAGCCGACACACACGACCCGCCCCCCATGTCAGTCACATGCATGCCACGTTCACTGGACAAGCACACAGTAGGAAACCAGAACATCATAACATGTCCCACACAGCAGCTGACAGTGGGGTTACAGTATAAAACTTGCGGGCCGCACGAACATTACACTTTCATATTAAGGATGGGGCCACAAAATATCGTCCCGAGGGCCGCAATTGGCCCGCGGGCCGCGAGTTTGAGACCCCTGGTTTAGAGTCTTTAAATCTACGGCCCCTGGTGGTCATAAGTGAGCATCACGCTTCAATAAACCGCCATAGTCTCTTTAAATAAGTTTACGTTGACGTAACTCTATAAAACCATTAATTTTTACCATAAACACACAACAAAAATCAGCCTGGGATTTAAAAAGAAGTTAATTAAATGTTACACGGTAAGTTTAATACATAAAGACCGTTTTCCGTTGAGGTGTAAAGCTTGAAACGTGTATGTTTCACTGTATCGTATCATCACTTTATAGCTTCACTTTGAGACATCGGACTTTGTTCATTTAACAGCAAGTTCACCGCTACTTAGGAAATAGCATCGCAAATGCTAACGGTTAGCTTCCTGGTCGACATCTTCTCTCTACTAAAAATTACGAAATTCAACGGAACACAAACTTTGACCAACTTTAATGTACGTACAATATTTATATTACAAAACCATAAATACTTACGGTCCAAAGGAGTAAAAAGAAACACCAAGTAGGCGCCAGGTGACCGCTTCCCGGTACAGTGGGACGAATAACGACGCCGCTCGAGTCCAGGTGCATTTAAAGACTCCGGGACGACGTGCTCGTGTACGTCCGCGTCACGTGTTACGTGATGACGCACGACACGGGACATTTAACGTGTCAGGAAGCTCCTCGTGTGCTTGTTTTCTGGGTTTTGGTTACGTTTTTTTTTTATATCTCGTACAGTTCTTTTTCAATAACTGATCCCTTTGACAGAAAATATAGAGTATTTTTATTCACAAGTGATGTTTCTACCCGAGCACAAAGAATCTCTGAAACTGAAAGTGAAACTGATCGTGACACAGCAAAACACTTCAGCTTTTATTTATTCTAAAATGATAAGATTACTCAAATGTTGTTACAACTGTACAGTCTGGCATGCTTTGTCGTTATGCCTCGCAAAATACGTACATGCACACTTTTTGCGTCTTGAACTTTTACAAGTCCACAAAAGTTCATCCCGAAATAAATAGGTGGGGATTTTCTTTTGTGAAACCACAAAGTCAGTTTTTGTTTTGCTTTGAATGGTGTGTCAGTAGTGCCACAGCCTTGTTCAACATCACAACATAAATATTTTCATTGGGGCAGTAGTGTTAACCAGAAAAACAAAAGGGGAAATGTTACATGTAACCTACATTAAGAAAGAGGAAGCTGCCGTTAAAATATTAAAAGGTTGGGCCCCTTAGAAAATAATCTACCACGGCTTCACAAACATCTAAAAAGGGATGAGACAACATACAATTCCCCCTCTCTTTCCAAGAAGTGATGCATTTCTAAATATTTTCTGACTGAAGGCTGATTCGTGAGGGGAAATAAAGGAGCACATGAGTCCAACACGCCTACATGACTCATCATGTTACACATTAACCCAAAAGAACGTTGATGCCAGTGTAGCATTTTAGCTTGTTAATTCAAACGCACAGGTTTATTTGTCAGACAATGCGTCTTTTTAAGGTGTCACAAGTGAAGGTTGGAATCCGCGGATCAATAAGACACCGCAGGACCCATTTCAACCAGTAAAGACCACAGGAGAAGCCATGATCATTTTGGTTTACACGCTTAGAATTATGAGCCGAAGCCCAAATTATGACATGAAAAGTCAAAGTTAGAAGATGTAAACTCAAAATGAGGAAACAACAACTGACATAACTCGACCCAACTGGGACCAGAACTCCTTCAAGTGGTGAAAAAAAACAAAAGTCCTTGAGTGTCTTCGGGCCTCCGCAGGTTTCTTTGTTTCCAGGTGAGACGCAGAAGGTCGCGCTGAACTCATCGACCACCTGAGGAATGCGCCGGCGTGGCGTCACATTCAGGAAGTTATTCGCCACAGTTATTCGTGTGAGAGTTCAAGAAAGAGTGAACAAGTGTTTGTAATCAGGTTTGGGTTTATCGAGCAGGAAAATGTCTGGAAGAAGAGACTCAACTGGTTTCATTTGACGGGCAGTTCAGGGAGTGATAAGACCACCACACCCTGTTTCAAAGACCGATAATAATTATAATAATATACCTCAGAGTTAATAGATAACAAAAAGTGTAACTTTGACCCGGATCGATTCTGTGCTCTGTGGAGCCTGTAATGTAATCTCATTAAATCTTATTTTTAACGTAACCAACAGTCGGCGACGGTTTAATAAAATACATCCAGCAGTTTAACTTAAAACCTTCAGTCGGAGTTATTGACCGATCATCTTCTCCTTCGGTCAAAAAACACACACAGAAATTGGGAAACATTCAACACGTCTGACGATATGAAAAGAAGATTCATATCTATTTAATCTAAGAGGTCTGAGTGGATCTTTTTATTTGTATTCAGAATTTCTGTGTAGCTTCCTGTAAAAACGCTCAATGATGACAAATGTGTTTCTTAGTGTTTGCGATAAAATGATCTAATTTTTGGTCCTGATCATCTGATACCAGCAAAAAACACAGAAAAAGATTGTGAATCCAGACTGAAAAAACCATTTGATAAACTGATGTGAGAATTAAACACAGACATTCATGCTCTCCAGAGGATGAATGCCCGCAGACCACATGACAATAGCACGCTAACACGCTAAAGGAAGATGGTGAACATGTTTAGCATATTCGCACGCCGCCGTTAGCATTTAGCTCAAAGTAGCCCGGCTGTGGACCCAAATATCTAGCTGATGTATTTGACGTTTTTAATGTTTTAGTCAGTTTGCAGATATGATGCAGCAGATGAACTAAGGACGTAACTAAACACTCCGGGTCGTTGCAGCGAAGAGCATCAATGAGCATCGAAGAGCGACCTCATCACATCGGCAGTTGGGTCCCGGTTTAAAATCAATGTTTTTGGCTGAAGAGGAAACACAGTTAAGATATTTTCTGACTCGGAACAAACAGGAAATAATGTCAGAGGCAAAAACAGCATCACATCTTCTTTTAACAAATGAATAAAATAAAACAACAAACTTCAAGTAATCCCATCATCATCATCATCAGCATCATCATCATCAGAAGCAGAAAAATATGAAATACAAAAGCAAAGAAAAACTACACATCCAACCAAAGAGGAAAACTGATTTAAAACTATAATAATTAAATAGTGTAAAACAACAATAATGCCGTCTTTTATTCCATTAGCATAAAAGAGTCCCAAGGAGGTAAGAGAACGCCATGCATAAAGGAACGCTGATGAGAGACAATCCGACAGAGAGTTTCTCCTCAAAAGAAAGAGCAACGAGTGTGTCGTCCACGCACGCTTCCTGTCCGCGGGACGGAGGGACACGCGTAGCCATCGCACGAGTCCTGCGCAGCAACGCTTGTGGAAGACAAGAGACGAGAGGCCTGAAATGTGGTTTCTCTGTTTTCACAGATCGGGAAGGAAGTAAATTCAACTTTAAGATCGGTGGAGAAATGTTTCTGACATTAGTCACTCGTTTCCCTACGAGAAAAAGTTTTCAAATCTAGTCAGATGCTGTAAATAAAACCTCCCGTGTGTTTGTTTGAATGGTGAAGGACTCATAAGCCGTCATCAATGACTCATGAAAACACTCCGAGTGGAAACAACGGGATTTTCCAACGTCAGACTTCTACGACGACACTTTTAAAATAATTCCACGTCCCTCGAGCACTTTGGGGAAAGCGGTTCTTGCGTTTTATGTGAATTTAGCTTACAACAGGTTATATCAAAAGAGACCTCGCAGGGTGGTTTTAAAAGCTCAATCCATGTACATGCACACAAAATAAAACAACAGGACAATCATGTGACCAACCAGCTGTGAAGTAAAACGCACATTCAATACTCCTCGGTGCTAAATGTTCACAACATTAATGTAATGTAAACGGTTAATATAGAAATGCAAAAGATGTCATCGATTCATATTGCATTGAATATGGCTCAGATTTGTATCTTCTTCTGGGAAAAATGCTGCAACACGCACAGACATGCACACACACGCACACACACACACACGGTCTGTAGTTACCGACGTTCTGCACAGAGAGCAGAAACAAGACGGTTCCTGTTGCAGCTTAACTGATTCTCCCTTTGGGTTAGATTTGGAATGACGAATTGTATCACACACACACACACACACACACACACACACACGCACACACACGCACACACACACACACAGCCTTGTCGGGTCAGGAGTACCAGATGCAATGAGAGGTTAAAGATGTGTTTGTGTGACGCTGGTTGGTGAGTCTTTTCCTCGAAACACGTCAATACAAACTGGTGGAGTGAAGAGGGAACGAATCACAAAATGCTCCTTATAAAATACACATATTCTCCAGAGTTAAAGGTTCTTTTACTCCCCTCGGTGATCTAGGGAAGAGGGATTGTTTTAGTCAGCAGAAAAAAACACATTTTTGCTATTTTTATCATCTATTTGACCTGTTTTGTTGTCAGCTGAATGGGGATTCTGTTGTTGTTATTTATTGTATTTTTTATTTAAGTGTATAAGCGAGAAGCGACACGACGCACTGATTCAAAGAATGTAAAAACTTTGCTCCCTTCTTTTGTGAGGGCATGTTGAAACTTGACGCGCGGCGTTACGCAGTATGAAGGCAGAGATTCGTGACTACATCCATGTAATGTCTTTGGCACACAGGTTTCATGGGATAAACGTCATATATAAAACGGTCTCTTTTTCAAATATTTTATATAGTTTTCTAAATGCTTATCGAACACATTTACTTACAGTTTCTAAAAATATGTATTGTGACTAAAAAGAAAAAAACGCGCCTCCACGAGTTCGTCTCCCAAACCGCTCAAAGTGCACTTTCACCCTCAAACAATAAATAGAATAGGAATAAATAAATACAAATAATTAAGTTGACCATTCAAATCTCCGAAGCAGTTTGTCTCTCCTCTGCGGAGACGAGCGTCTCCGCTGAGAGTGTGTGCGAGTCCAGGGAGGCCGAGAGACTGTGTGTGTGTGTGTGTGTGTGTGCGCCTCAGACAGCCGTCTCCAAGTCTTCTTGTGTGGTAGATGTGTGTTGTTTGGTGCTCAGGAAGGTGACGAGCTCAGAGTCTCCCTTCGCTACGTCCGCCGGCGTCTTCCCCTGATGGACACACACACACCCACACACACACACACACGGTCGCTACGGTAACAGAGAAGAGGAGCGCATGGCTGCAACTAATGCGTTGCCATATTGAAATAACAATATTGCAAAATTACCACGAAGAAAAACCAAGGAGGAGAAATATTTTCAGAAGCAAAATCAGTGAATCATTTTGGTCATTTTGTGTGTTTACCTGAAAGTTGGTCTTTTCGAGTGACGCCCCGGCTCCCACCAGCAACCGACACGCGGCGTGGTGCTTCTCCGAGGCTGCTTTGTGCAAGGCAGTGTCCCCTCTACACACAGACACGCACACACAGACACGGTGATCAGTTAAGCTGAGAGAACGTGCGCGTTGTTGTTATTTACAGCCGGAGATCAAAGAAACAACATACTTCTCTCTGTCGGTCAAATCCAGAAGCACTTTAGAGCCTGAAGATGGAGAAAGGAAAACGTAATCAGGTTCCACCTCCACGGCGGACATCACAAGCTTACAGACAACAGCAATGCGTCTGGTGGGGGGGACTTCATGCACAGTCTCACCCGGCTGCAGGATGAAGCCGAGCAGCTCGGCGTGTCCCTTCTGGGCGGAGACGTGCAGCGCCGAACAACCTCTGGAGTCTCTGACCAGCAGGCTGACGCCTCGACGCACACACTCCGACAGCTGGACACACACACACACACACACACACACGCACAGTTTATTTAAAACAAGCAAACACGGCTCACATGTGTACTACTATACGAGTAGTTCTGTTTACACTGTTAGAGATTTAATGAGGTGGCTTTATGCTGCGTGAGTGCACGTTTACCGTGGACAGATCTCCTGTGCCGGCAGCCGTCAGCAGAGCTGGAAACACCAAGATCAACACAGAGATTCATTAGATCGAATCCATGGAAACGCCGGTGCATCTGTGAACATCTGCCGCTTTCTCTAAACACATCTGCCTCTAACTCAAAGTAACTGCAACACATTCTAAAGGGAGATGCACCAACTTAATCTTACCACAACACCACCCGTCACACCACCCGTCACCGTGTGGTTTCAGAATCAAAGGCTGACTGAGTCTGACTGAAAGTGAAACGATCAGATTGTGTTTGGTTTGAATCTAAGAGCGAGAGAGCGTCTCTCTGCGTTTTCAGCCCGAGGAGCAGGCGGACGGGGCGTGTGAGGATGGAACACCGGGCCGGTTAAACCGGAAAGTCCCATCAAAATCACAACGGCTTTGTTATTCTCAGGAAATGTCCCACGGCTCCTCCGGGGGAACGCTAAGGGGAGAGAAACACCTGCAGAGGCCAGAGGAGAAGAGCTGTGGCCTTCGGCTCTGGATATAAATGAATGATAACGCCTTATTAGTTCACTTCAGAGTGTGCGTGTGTGTGCGTGTGTGTGTGTGTGTGTGTGTGTGTGTTCTCTACCTTGTTCGTCGGATGTCAGAGAAACACTGTAAAGAAAGAAAACAGTAGGAATTAAACTGAGGTAGAAACATATTTCCTTATTTTTCCACCTTTTAATTCCATGAACTGAAAACAATAGTGATGAATGCTCATCGGTACCCGGAGGTCGGCTCCACCACCACATCCGGCATCGCCGTGGACGCTCCCTGGCTCACCGCCGGGCCCTCGTGGTCCAGGATGAACACCTCGTCCTGACAGATCTCAGTCACAAAGTGGAGGTGCTCCTACACACACACACACACACACAGACATGTGGACACCAGCAGAAAGACCCAGTGAACATTCAGCGGCGCGGCGCGGCGTGGTTACCTGAGCCTTATCGATGCGGTAGAAGCGGTCAGCTGACGTGGCTGCGGAGCAGAAACAAGCGCTTTCTTTAAACCATTTATGTCAAGTGGAACCTTTAAATAATCTCGGCCTCCATCTGTTAGTCACAGCGACGAGGAGAAACCACGCGGTGCCACATCAACATCTGTGATGCGAGTCACTCACAGTCCAAGAAGCTCCAGCTGGAGGAGAGTCTGCCGCTCGAACCCGTCCTCGGGACGCCTCGGCTCTCGTCCTGAACGAGACGGGGACATCAGACACCGATCAGTGATCAGATGGGGGTCATTTGGCAGAATAGAAAAGAGAGTCCAGACAGAGAGACGGTATTAATAAGTGCTGATTAACTGTGAGGTTTTGTTTGTTTTTCAACCTGAATGTCTGATTATAAACGGCTGTGGTTGAACCATCATGACACAGATTTAATGGAGAAACAGGTGTCGTACCTGGTAGTGCACCCTGTGGCCAGTAGATGGCGCCTGGAGTAAATCCTAGCAAGCAGAGCAGACGGGTTTCAAGGTTAACAAACAGCCAAAGCGTCGACGTCCCGCCCGTCCACGCACTGAGCCTCCCAGCAGAGACACGCCGCTCGCGTGTCGTGGGCGTCGTAAAATAATGATGACGGGGCGGAAACAGAAGGACGTCAGGAGCACTGGTGATGAACATAAAAGGGGGGGAACTCGCCTCTTGTAATCTGTCAATGTAGAGTCTGCACGTCTCCAGGTCACAGTCCCCCCTCACCACCACGATGCCTACTGGGATGGCTGCGGCGCACAGACACACAAACCAGGATCAGCGGCTTTTCATACAGGTTTGAGTTTGTGTCAGTGGCCAAAATCCCCCGTGTTATCGCCACACACATGATATATGACCTCTGACCTCTGCCTTTATCCAGCCACGAGCCTTTCGTGGAGCTTTAGCCTGAAATGCTCTTCAACGCTCTAAAGCTCTCCTTATTGAAGCAAACACACACACACACACACGCACACAGACACACACAGGCGCTTACAGATGTCTCGTAGCCGCTCCTTGTCGTACTGCAGTTTGTCGTACTCGTGGAGGCTGATCCGGTTCACGCGGAGACGCAGGCGGTCTGGAACCGCGTGAGGACTGGAACAAAAACACACACAAGTGCATGTAGACACACACAGTTAAGACAGTGAGAAGGACGCATTCATGCACACACAGACCGGGGGGGGGGGGCATTGAGTGAAAGCTGCAGAGTGGTGCAGGAGTAATAAGCTCCAGACAAGACAGACGCACATTTAGAGGTGAAGAGACTCTATGAGCACGCAACCTCTCTCTCTCTCTATATACAGTATATATATATATGTATATATATATATATATATATATATATATACAGTATATATATATATATGTATATATATGTATATGAATATATAACATACAACATCACTTGGCTTCGACCTCTACGAGTTTGTGAAGACAACAGATGTCAATATTCGAGCCCTTTAAAGTTCGTGTAGGTTGATTAATCTACTAATTTGTGTGTTTTTCTACATTCGACTGCAGAAAAGGAGAAACGAGATATGACTCATTTCACGCAAATTCATGGAAATGAGAGAAACGGGCTAAATAATTCCTCGTTAGTGAGTTAAACCCAATTCTGATGATCCATCTGCGGTTTAAGTAGAGGAAGTCAAACATCTTCTCAAGCAGGATGAGATGAAATGACCTCGGTTCAATGTGCGATGGAGGGAAATCGACGACAGCAGAAGCACCGACTGGTCCACTCGCTGGCGCAGCGCTCAGGTACTTACACAGAGAAGGAGTCGGGGGGGGCAGAGAGGCGGCGCAGATCAGCTGCACACACCTTCTGAATACTACGGACACACACACACGCACGCACACACACACAGACACACAAACGGACACACACAGAAGAAGGGTGGAGAGATGTAGACCAGGGGAAGGAGGGATGGGTGGTGGAGAGGAGGTGAGGGGAGAGGAGGTGAGCAGAGGGGGGGGGGAGTAGGGGGAGCAGTGAGTTAAGAGAGGAAACAGGAGAGGAGACGTGAGGAAAAAAGGAAAGGAGGGAAAAAGGAAATGGACAAAATGAGGGAGAAAACAGAAGGGAGGGAGAGAAAAAGAGATGAAAATAATAAATAAGCAGAAAGATTACATACATGTGTTGTCAGAAAGAAGAGGAGGACAGACAGAGAAAAGGTAAGAGGACAAACGTTGACAGCAGCGGTGCATCGTTACTGCAGCAACCGGAAGTACTTGTTATTGTTTACTGGCTGCTAGAAAATAGAGCCACATATATCAACACGGATGTGTAGACGGAGAAGCATCGGTGCTTCAGGGGACGGAGGGACGCCAGCAGCTCTGTGTAGTTCTTATACAGCCAGAGGTACAATATGATCTTAAGTACTTAAACTACAGGTACTGCTCTTAAAGGGACAGTGTGCGTTTTTGGGGGGGGGGGGAGGGTAATCTGTACAACGTGGTTCTGTATGTCATCAGATCCTAAACACTGCCCCTCTATGTTACTCTTTAAACAGTTCTACTGATGGAGTATTTTTCCTACTTTCGATTAACTAAAAGGATGCGAGTACGTCTCCCGCCCACTCGGCGTGGCTCCGCCCCCGACACAGATCAATGAACGTCTCCGGAGCGACGCGTCAGCTGATTGGATTGAACCTACACGCCCCCCCCGCCCACCCCCCCGGGGAAGTGGGTTGGTGGGAGAGGAGTGAATGTCCCACTAAACAGATTGAATGACTCACTCTGCGTGCAAACCGGCTTTTGTGTGTCTGCGTGTGTGTGTGTGTGTGTGCGCGTGTGACTCACTCGTTGAGCAGGGGCACAGAGGTGCGTCTCTTGCTCTTCTGGACCATATTGGCCTGATTTCGGAGGCAGATGCGGAGGGTGGAGGGAGCCAGTCGGCACGGTTCACCGTCCACCTGCGTGCACACAGACACACAACACTTTGTGTTTCGAGGTAAACAAACCTGCCTTTCCAGGAATCGTCAAAGCAGGAACCACGACTGGACCTTTCGCTCTCCGAGCGACAAAGAAAGACTCCGAACATGCAGATGCTCAATCGTTTTAATCTTTTAAGCTAAATTTCCTTCAGAGAGAACGAGCATTAGTTATTATTCAGTTTGAGAGACTCAGACTGTAAGTGACTCATTCCCACACCCACCTGAACAGGTACGGTCTTGAAGGTAGTGAGGACGACTTCTCTGCACTGGTGCAACCGCTCTCCGTGACCTCCGACCTGCAGCGCCGCCTGGTGGACACGACGCAGAGTCACAGCAGGAGAATGGAAGTTTATTCCCTTAAATCAAAGCATCTTCTCTTCTCTCTCTCCCGCGTCGCAGTGGTTAGCGCTCACCAGCGAGGCCACGGTGAAGCCGATGACCTCGATGCAGCCGTCGTCGTGGCGCTGCGGCTCAAAGTCCCGGTGGTCGCCCGTGTTTCCCCACGGCATGGTGCCAGCACAGTACCTGTTGCACACGTTAGAAACACGTCAGATCCATTGGTAGCTCCCCAGACGGGTCACGCGGCCGACGATTGACAGTTTGCACCGTTAACAGATCCTTTTGTTGCCTGTTTTTTGTTTAAATTGAGACTCGTGGGTCACATTCACCTACCTGGGAATGTTTAGGAACACAATGCACTGGAACTTCAGCTCCTGGATCTTAGGAGTTAGATCGGTTCCATCGCACTGAGGAAGACGTAGAAAGTTAAAGTTCAACATTCATCCCTCCAGATCCTTCACTCTCCGAACATGTCGAGTCAAGCTTCTTTCTCACTTCTCAGTTTGAACGCTCTCGCTCTCAACCGGAGCAAAGTGATGGATCTATTTCATTTGTTTAGTTAAATCATGACACCACAACCAGGGACGTTTCTACAAAGACGTTTAGTGGATCGGTATCATGTCTCACACGTCTTCTTCCCGTGTGCCACTGAACTCCTTTGTGGTCCAAGAACTATTAAAAACACGTCAAAGAGGCAACGCTGGTTCCTTCCACATGAACACACACGCTGTGGTCTGCGCGCACAAAGTCCCGCTGCACCAAATACTCAAGACAAACATTCCTAACATTACAACATTAACATCAGCCCGAGGTTATCAAAAGAGAAAAAAAACTTTTATCATAATGACATTAGGAGAAAAAAACGATTCACCGTCAGTTTACAGAACATTAATCATTGTTTTTTAAGCAAAAATCCCCCAAATGAACTTGGATGGAAATATGTTCTACTTCTTTTAGCGTCTTTGGTTGTTGGATTGATAATGAAACAGTCATTTAAATGTACCTTTGGGAATTTGTGAGGCCACTGAGCGGACTGTTAATCAATAAAACAGAGACTCATTCATGAGAACCACTGCGAGGCGCCGCTGCGGTTCTACCACAGAAGAAGAGTCCTCCGGAGGTCGACGGAGGAGTTGAAGGACGTTCCGTTTAATCACCCGGACGACCTGCTGGCCGGACGCGTCGAACGCGGAACACGATACAGATGGAGAGAGGACGAGCGTGTTAACACTCACCACCACCCGGACGTGCTTGGACAAATCCCTCGAGCTCCTCTGGAGGAAATCTGAGAAGGCGGCCTGCACACACACACACACACACACACACGCGAAGGGAGATAAATACCATGCTTCCTCTTCGTTAGTTAGTTAGAAGATCTCTTTCAGGCTCAGGATTTTAATTTGGAGAAATTAAAAAACACAAAGTGGAAGCTGGAATAAAAGAATTCCTATTTCTGCTGCGACACCCAAAAGGCTTCAGGCTATAAGATACGATCCATACGAGCGAGTCATCATTTCATCATAAACCAGGACATCCTCTTGTTTTCACCACACATGCACCATCCAAATATCTTTATGTCCTGATATTTGTCCTCCAGCAGCTTCATCTCTCCTTCTCCCCCGTTTCCTTTCCTTCACTCGCCCCCCTCGGTTCCTCTCTAATCGCCCGGTTAGCACAGAGCTCGTGAGTCGGCGGGACACTCACTCCTGCGTAGAACATCTTGTTGCGGAAGCGACTGTTAAACTTCTCCGGGTTGGCCTCTGGAAAGACACAATCAGAGAGGCGGAGAATACGTTAAATAAACACGTTAAATGTAGACGAATGAATGTGTCCTTTTTAAAATTAGATTCCGCCGGTCTCTTCCCGGGAAGTGGGAACTTGATGGAATAGAAATAGAGTTAAAGCAGGATGAAACGTGGGAGAAAGACATTCATTTAAATACATTACGTTACATTTACATTCCACTGACCTCTGGACTCGTGGAACTCCAGCGTGACATGAGCATCGAAGCCCAGGCTGAAGTAGTTGTTGAACACGTTGAGAGGCAGCTGAGGACCAAGGAGGACACAAATTCACTCCTGTTTCTTTTACCTTTGCCAGACATTTATTTTGAAAGGCAATGTGTTGGCGATGCAACCTCACGTAAACGCACACACACACACACACACACACACACACACACACACACACACACACACACACACACACACACACTGACCTTCTGTGTTCCCTCCTCCGGCTGATCGGCACCTTTCTCCACGTGCAGGTTCCACCTGTCCAGCTGCACCACCGAGCCGTCCTCCACGTGGCAAAGCACCTTGGACACCGGCTCGTCCGTGTAACCCTGCGGACGCACAGAGACAATGAACAACACACACAGGCAGAGATCCGCTTGTTTGGTTCCTCCGCTCAATTAGATGACTGACAGCTCCCGACCAGCTGCTGCTAAACGGAGTCCTCCAAGTACGCAGAGACTTCAACATCTATCCTTTCATTGAAAGCGCTCAGCGCAATCTGCAAAAGGACGGCCGAGTGATCGCATCAAAAGCTGAGCGGATCCTACAGGAAACACACACACAACACACACAATCAGCCCGTCTCTCTGGTCGACACCTGTCACTCAGGCCAGGCGTCTCTAACGGGAAGCATTTCGTCTTTCTCTGTGTTTCCTGCTTTCTATTTTCTGTCTCCCTCTGGACGGGGTCAGAAAATCAGTGAGCCAAGGACTGCAGTGACACGCACACGCAAACACGCAAACACACACACAAACACACACGCACACGCACAGCGGAGATCCCGCTCTGACACACAGTGACTCACAGGGTTGTTCACACTCACACAGAGAGCGGTGGAGAAGGTGAAATGGTGAGTAGCACCACCGAGTGTCAGAAGGTGAGGAGCAGAGGAGAGGAAAGCAAAGGGGGAGGAGAAGGAGGCGAGGGTTAGGAAAGGAAGTGAAGGGGAAGGAAAGGGGGAAAAGGAGGAAGCACAGGCAAGGATGCGAAAAGTAAGGAGCGATAAGAAAAGGAAATGGAAGCGGGAAAAGAAACAAAAGGAAAGGAAAGGAGAGGAGAGGGAAAGGAAACAGATAAAGTGGATGAAAAAAGAAACCCTGCAGTCAGAACTCATTAACCACCTTAGGAGATACGAACGTTCTCTCGGCTCTTTACTCCTTTGAATCCTGTAATTCACGTGTCCTTGTTCTTCATTCATTTAAAGACCACAAACCTCATTAGGTGATGAACAAGGAACGAATCAACTAGGCCGCTTCAACACACGCAGCATGAAGACGATGAAGATTAAGTATTTTTAAATAGATTCACTGAATAAATGAGAATAAAATACATTTGATACCATCAGAAAAATAACTGTATTTGGTGGATTATAGTTGATCCTTCTTTGTTTAATTAATCAGAAACACTCTAATGTCAACTCCACACTCCAAAGAAATGTTTTAATCTAATTCTGTTTCTTTCCCGATGAAAGCTGCTGCGACGCGTCTCCGCGAGAGGAAGCGGTCGCAAAACCGCTTCCTGCTGTTCGTGGCTGTGACTTTACGTTACACGGAGGCGGAGAGGAAGAGTCAGACAGGAAGTGCTTCCTGGAATGTGGCTTTGTGTCGCTCCCGGAGGCGTCTGAGGGACGAGCTGTTGTATATTCCTCTTCAACTAATTGAAACGTCGTCTTGTCTTGGTTTCATTTTCCAGCTGCAACAACTCTACGGAGAAAACCGGTTTCCATGGAGACGCGACTAAAAGGACCCGAGCTCAAAGTCCTCAAACGCACTGGAATGGATGCACAAGCACAGGGGGGGGGGAGAAGCTGCGGGACGTCCTGCCGCTCACGGGGGGTCAAGGCTCGGCACTCACCCCGCCCCAGTTGAGCGTCCTGGCGAGGTCGTTTCCTGTTCCCAGAGGAAGAACCGCCACCGGAGGCTGTGGGTTCATCTGCAGCTCGTCCAGAGTGGACAGGATCCAGCCCACCTGCAGGGAGACGTGCACACGCGGGTCAGCGGCGGGTGTCCACAAAGGGTCACACGTGGGAACGACATCGCGACGCAGTCCTACCGTGCCGTCCCCCCCGCAGGCGAGGATGCGCAGATTTGGCACTTTGCGATACAACTCCAACCTGACGAGATCCCACACAAAACAGAGCGGGGTTGTGGAATAATACTGAGCGCTGCCGAGTGGGCGTGATGGTGCGAGGTTTGTGAAAATTGCTCAGCCGTGAGAAGATACGGCCCCGGCGCTTCTTCGGCCGGTGTGGGTGGATTTAAATAAGAAGCGAAGGGTACTCACGCCTCTCGCAGGCCGCCCTGTGACAGGTCGAACACCTGCCGAGGGTTCAGGATCCACATGAACATCTGCAACACCTTGGCACCCTGCGGAGAGACGGGCTTCAAATACTCGTAGGAACTCCAGGTCTATTCGAAGCGGCTCTGCTGGAGCAGCTGCAACCGTGATTACTGTGAAATCGTCTCTTCATCTATCTGATAAAAAACGAATCCAGCTCCGTCTGACGTCTTCCTGTCAAAACGCTCTGTCGCTGCAGATTGTAAAAACTGCTGAGTCAGCCGGCTGAGCGCAGAGATTTAATCCCATTAAATTAATCAAATTCAGCAGCCACACCATTTGAATCTGATAATGTTGATTTCTCTTGTGTAACGTCTTCTGTAAAAAAAGGTTGTTACGGTGTCACACACTTTATATTAATGCAACTTACTTCTTCATGATTGTAGATGTTTATTTTGCATTAACAAACGTCCCTCTGGTGATCTAACAGCCTCTAACAGTGACGTCATACGTGGAATGAGTGCGTCTCTCAGAGGAGGCTGACCTGGTTGCCGCCGCTCTTGGGATTGACGAAGACCAAGATGGGCTTCATGAGAGGTGAAGGAAGAGGCTTCAGCATGAACGGACGCCATTTAGACTCCTGAGGGCGGGGAGGGACGGGAAAGTTACAGAGAGAGACGCGCTAATAGTGTACGCAAGAGATAATGAACCAAATTATTAGTCGACTAGCTGATTCACACAATGGATTAATATTAATATAATAAATATTAATATATTTATCGTGCAAAAGGAAAAACGATCAAGCCGCTCAAATACTTTTCCTGCTTTTCTCTTTTTATTTAGAACTGAATTTCTTTGGACAAAACAAGACAGCAGCAGATTAATTAATAGTGAATCCAGATTCACTGATGATTATTGACCCAAAGGGACAAAGTACACGGCCTTTATTTGGTTAGATACAAAGACACATAAAACATAAAAGCATTAACGCGCGTGTACGTGTCTTCTCGGGTTACATTCAGAGAGTTCGTCCACTTACATCAAGTCCCTTCTTGCTTGTCCTTCGTTTAAACGATGTCCGCTTTTTTCTCCTGGCAGAGTTCTTAAGTGAGCTCTAGGGTGAACGCACACACACGCACACACACGCACGCACACACACACACACACACACAGACACACAGACACACACACACAGACACAGAGTTCAATGGTTAGTTCACTGCCACCGCGTCCCTTGTGATGGTAATTTAAAGTGCAATGAAGCATGTGATGTGACTGACGGGTTGTGTGTGTGTGCGTGTGTGTGTGTGTGTGTGTGTGTGTGTGAGACACAAACCCCGAGTTCCCTGAGACAGATCAGACATGTGTCAGCTCTCATCACGTCATAGTCAAAATCACACACGCACACATGCACAGATTTTGACACACTTCAAGTCTTTAAATGTAGATCTAACATTTGCTTCTTATTGCTGTTACAAAATGACAGTTATGTAACTTTATCAAGCAGTGACTGGTGAGGGGTGTGTGCAGTGCGTGTGCAGTGCGTGTGCAGTGAGTGTGCAGTGCGTGTGCGTGCGTGGGCACCTGTGGTTTCCTGACTTTGATGATCCAGGAGGGGGGCACTATGACTCCAGCGTGGGCCCCCAGTGAGCACGGCTCCTCGATCTGGTGCAGCATGAAACACGTCACCTTGTTGTGGAACTGCAGGGAAAACACTGCGCGTTGTTATTTCTCCTTTTAATTCATCATAATGTAATAAAACACTGTCAGAAATATTAGCATTGGTCATTGAATATTATATAATGAGTCATTTACCTAAATTAGACTGGATGTATAAATAATAATAATAATAACAATGAGGGTTCATTCATTCATTCATTTCTTTATACTTTTAACTTCTACTCTTCAATTGGAGAATTGATTTGTTCTGCAGTGATTCCTGAGCACAGAGGATGAATTTCTTACCGCTTGTTTACACCAGGAACAACTGATGGCGATTATTTCTTTACTGTGGAAGAACTTCTGCTGAAAACTCTGCAGAAACCGACAGAAATACGTGAAAGTCAGTCTGTATGAACAGCGTTAATGATTGACCGTGTGTGTGTGTGTGTGTGTGTGTGTGTGTGTGTGTGTGCTTACCTTTCCACACTGCCTACATTTCCCCTCCTGTCTTCTTCTGTGAACCCAGTGATGTCTCAGTGCGTTCTGCTGTCAGAGGGAGAAGCGCTTTTCATAATCCGGTTCTCTCGTCCGTCAGAGTGTAAACGGGATCCGTAGGAAGGATTCTTCTCTCACAGGTATTAAGTCTCGCACACATTCAAACACACACACACACACTTACATCTCGCATGCAGCGGGATCCTCCCTCCCTGTAGGTCGGCTTACATCGGAAGTTAATCTAGGAAGAGACGCAAAAATAAATAAACACAAAAGGCCAAATCATTTTGTTTCATACGGAAAAACATTTATATGTATCACGTGAATATTCAACAGCTGGAATCCATGAATACATCATGCAAACGTTTAGGATTACATTATACTACTATCACATATTTATATGGTTTACACTAAAGAGATGGTATAAAATAAATAGCACAACATGTTTAAAACTCAATAAAAACTTTAAGATGGCTCTGAAGACAGAACGTTCGCTCTCTATTGTTCTACGTTGGAATATAAATAATGTGTATATAAAACATGGAAATAAATGAGATGATCTCCAGTGCTGCAGGGAACGCTCTCACAAACCTGTTATAAATGAAATTATCTTTGAGGATGCTGTGTAGTGTGCATCGGATGTGACATTGCTGTGTGTGTGTGTGTGTGTGTGTGTGTGTGTGTGTGTGTCGTACCTTTTCCAGTTGCTCTATGCACCCAGAGTGAACAACGATCTTACAGGCTGCACATTTCCTCCGGGGGGCCGACTTCTTAAAGGAGGAAATAGACACACAGCACAGAGGGCGGTTAGACAGCAAACACACAACGGACACACGGATACAAGCGCACAACAATGCACACAGAGATGTGCTCGAGGTGCCCGGACACGTCTCCTCTTGGTATTCAGCTTTAACGGGACCATTGCACGTCTACACCTGTGATGAGTCACAATGTGATGATGCAATGCTTCTTCTCAGGCTACAGAGGAGCCACAACACCAAGGAGCCCTTTAAATGAATAGATCGTTATTTTAGATGCTCCATGTCTTTCACGCCAAGAGTGTGATGAGAAGACCGTTACCACGCTCACCTCTGTCCCTTAGAGGTGAAGCTACAGCTCAGGGACGGTTAGCTTAGCTTAGCATAATGACTTGAAGCGGGGGGGAACAGCTAGCATGGCGCCAAACCAAACCCGGTCCACCTACACTCACTTGTTCTCAGTGTTATGCTATGCTAAGCTAAGCTAAACCACTGCAGGCTGCAGCATCACATTTAGTAGACAGATAATAAGGTATTGATCCTCTTTCGTTATGAAAGGCAAGAATTCCCCAAATGTTGAATTATTGCTTCAATTATTGGGCAAAAACAGAATCGTTGAGTAAACTCAGCTTATGGAAACATGAAATATGCAGGGAAAGATTGACAGAGCTAACAATGTTGCCCCCACTAACTACCACTAGGGGGTAAATAACGATGGAGACGCCTCTGGGCCGTCACACTGAGGCCTCACCCTCTCACACCCTGAATGTTCTCGCAGTGCAAAAGCCCCACCACAAAAAGCCTCTTTCCACCAGAAGCTCATCATGATAAGGAAGGAAGATGTTCTTCTTCGAGATGCTCGGGCCGAGCGGGGAAATTGCAAAAGCGCCAAAAAGAGGAAGTCGACGGGAATCTTTTTCAACGTATTCTGAGGGTTCACTTCGCTCTCGCAATCGTTGTTTCAAAAGAGTTTGCTGGCAGACACCTAATAAGAGTTAACGTCTCTGCGGCACAGCATCCTGCAGACGCCCACGTCCTCCTCCGTTAAGACCTGAGTCCTATCCAGCGGGGCGCAGGTAGGAACGCGCGCCCGCCGCCGCCGCCAGCCGTGACTTGTCAGAGTAATCTCCAGCGAGGTCACGTTGTCCTTTCAGCCGGCTGGAAGTGTGCATCGCTGGACGAATATTCATCTAATTAAACATATGACAGCAAGAGATTATGATGAATATATTTTCCGCTGGCAGCAACCTCGTGTTCCCGTCCCCTCGCTGCACTGTAATCACACTCCATCACTGGAAATGACCAGACGTGTCATTATGTTATCGTCAGGATTATAGGCTGTTTCTCGGCTCTGCAATCGCAAGTGCTTTTGTTCTCGCGAGGATCCAGAGAGGGTCCTAATACCTATAATTTAACGCCGCTCTTCTGTGCATGGTTAATGTGAAAGTTCACATTTCTTTGCTCTTCCCTGCGGGACGCCCGACTCGTGGGCCACAGAGCGGACGACCAGGTGGCTCCACAAGCTTTTAAAAGCTCACACGTTTTTTTTTAGGCATTCAAATTGCTCCAATCGACTTTCGTGAACTTGAACGGTCGGTTTGTGCACTACTCACAGCGGCCTTCAGCAGGCAGCTGTCCTCTCCCAGATAGCAGAGATCGCCCGAACAGCTCGTCTCCATCCACAGGTGATCCCCGTTCAGCGCGCTCTCCTGCGTGAGAGACAGTGGAGGTCATGATATAATAGCTCACGCTGCGCGCCGCTCGCTCACATCAAACCGCAGCCACGCCGCGCGATAAACACTCGCCGGGGAGAGAGCGGTCAACGAGGGCGTCGAGCACATAATTGCCGGTGCTGAGGAGGCGGGTGGTTTTCCAGCGCGTGTTAATTCAAGGCGCTGGTTGAAACACAACACGGAGGGCCGCTGATTCATGTGGAAAACACGCTAGCCTCTGCACATATAAACACGCCGGTAAAGCACGCGTGTGTTTGTCAGCGAGAGACGTGACGGCGCTTTTTTAGATGGTGAAAAAATACATAAAAAAATATGTATAAATATATATATATATATGCAAAATAACAATTAAAAAATCAGTTTGGAGCTTCATGAAATTACTTCTATGAAATAAATCAGTGGAAAGTAACTGAGGGACGTAAATGTAAAACCTTCACTTTGGTTTCTCCTCATTTGCTGCCTTAAGTCGGTCATGTGAAGAACGCTGTTGATCTGCGAGCCTCCCTTCCTGATCTCCGTCTCTCACTTGCCTCCCGTCGATCAGCCACACGCATAATCAGCTCTTAAAGTGGCCGTTTGTAACCACTTCCTCCTCCGATACCTCGACGTACGACGCACAGCAGAGAATAAATCCGTATCCCATTCATTAGCGTCTAAGAGGGAAGGATACATATCAGTGTGTGTGAATGAGTGATGAGCTGCAATGATTATGTACAAGTGTGTGTGTGTGTGTGTGTGTGTCGTGCGGAGAGCTAAAGGCCAGCGGTGACGCGGTGGAAGTGTCCCTGCAGACGGAGCCAGAGGGGAATCTCTTCTTCTACTTACAATTAATAATACAGCAGTTGTGCTCCAACTGAAAGAAGCTCCTGCATTGATGCTGTCAATCAAATAGAAAGAGGCTTCGTCTCGCTTTGGTTTAAGCTCGCTGCGAACCAGGTCATTTGGGATATTTCTGCACGGGAGAGGACTCAATGGGCAGTAGAAGGACTCTGGTGCGACATACACATACATCATATGCAAGTTGGAAGTTATTTAAGATGTTCTGGTTGTTTTTACCATGTATCTTGTGTGCACTGTCCACGCGATCCTGTGAATATCCCCATTGTGGGACTAATAAAGGAATATCGAATCTTATTTTAAGAGGATTTTTTTGTATTTATTTCACTTTGGGGTTAAGATTTGAGGATTATTTTATGAAGAAAATGATAATGATTCATTATTATTATCGCACACGTTGCTTGAAGTTTTGAATTCTCCTATTTTGGATCTGAAAGGATTGAAAGTGCTTTGCTGCACGTTTGAATGTTATATCATGACGTGCTTTTCTTTGGCATTTCCCTCAGCATTGCACTGTTATTGTATATCCATTTCTTACTGTTCATACTGCATAACTATTGCATAACTATTTCTTACTGTACATCTATTTATTCACTTATTACACTTTACATATGCACATACTCTGCACCTTTTGCTATTTTGCACTTCTGGTTGGATGTTAAACTGCATTTCGTTGCCTCAGTACTTGTACCCTGTGCAATGACAATAAAGTTTAATCTAATCTAATCTAATCATTGGACCTTTGCTACTTTTTGAAGCAGAAAGCCTTTTATGCTTTGTAAAGAATTACATGAAACCATTAAACTCAATGCAAAATAAACCCGGGAAACGTTCCGTTCTATGACGCTCACATAAAACGATATTTTATGGTAATAATTTATAACGATATTTTCTGGTAATGATTTATAACAATATTTTCTGGTAACGATTTCAGAGGCTTCGCCCGGCTGTTGAATCTGCTGACAGGTCTGTTGCCATGGAACTCCGAATGTCCTTCAGTGACTCAGCCAGACGGAGACGGGGACAACTGTCCAGCCTTTGAACACCGATGTATATGCATGAGTCACATTACGCAACTAAGCCCGCGTGTGCAGCGACTAACAAACGGCAACGGATACGAACAAACCAAAGACACAAATTGTGCTCAGCATTCAGATTTAATTCTGTGAGTGCGTCTGACCGTCCAGTCCATGCAGGTACGGAGCTGCTTGTTGGGCCCGTTGGACGCCGGCGGTGGGGAGGCTTGAGGCGGGCCGAGGTGCTGGAGGCCGGAGCGGGAGATGGCTTTCCTAAAAACAACAAGACAACAAAAAAACATGTCACCGGCAATCAACAAAAGATGCAGAAATCCACCGCGACGGACTGGACTCGCCGCAGAGGGAAGTAGACTTCGGGATCATTTAGAACGTGCGTCCATTATTCATGGCGTGAGAGCACGTTTCGGCGGACGGAGCTGCAGATATTGGGTGGAGGAGAAGCGGGAACAGCTTGGGGGAGAGACTGCCAGCAGCACTTTGGGGTGACGGAGACAGATCTGTTGTGTCAGAGGATGAGTCAGCAATCGTCTCTCTTACTCTCCACCCGTTGCATTCTTCCCGTCATCTGGGGGGATATTTAATCCTCGTACTTTAATAAAAAAGTATCCATGAGGTTGTTTTGTTGTGTTACTTCCACACGAATGTACATTTAAAGATCTTTTAAATACTTGTATTACATGAATCCTCTGTCTTTTCGTGCAGAATTTGCAACCCAACTGATTTATTTTTATTAAATTGTATTTAAGTTCATTATAAATAATTAGACATCTCCAATTCTGAGAAAAACATTTGGGTTTTTTTTGATAAAAAGTCCTGTTTTTTTTTACAACGTAATAGAGAAGAAAAATCTTCTCCAAGAATCTGCACAAATGTGCATATAATTGCAGATCTGAAAGGCTGACTTCCTTAGAAGTTTAATAATAAACAGTCTGTGTGTGTGTGTGTGTGTGTGTGTGTGTGTGTGTGTCTGTCAGTGGAAAAGGTTGCACAGGAGCATGTGACCCCCCTGTTGAAAGTTTCAGTGGCCGCCTGTCTAAAATTATCCATCAGGACAAAGAAGAGTCCACTTACACACACTGTAACCTGATGACACCCCCGACACACACACACACACACACACACACACACACATGCATGAACTCGCCCTCACGACTCTCGGGATGAAAATAGTATTGCGTGGGCGACGTAGGCGAAAATACAAGGACGTATGGTGACTGGACATGAGCCGAGTACAACAAGCATCACACGCCCGCACACACACACACACACACACACACACACACACACACGCACACGCACTCTTCATGTATCAATTCATTGTGATCAATCACTGTTTGGGGGCTGGTTCAGGTTTGAAGCGGGCGTGTTCAGAGACGTGGGCGGTCCGACATGTGGCGTTAACCAAAACACGGGTTCTACTGAAACAACTTGTTTGCAAGTGAAACCAGAGGCACAGAGAGAAGGTTCACTTTGTGCCTCCTGCACTTCCTGTTGTTCATTCCAGACAAGCGTCATCGATGACCTGGATGTTTCATTAAAATAACCGGGTTTTTGGGCGAGATTTATTATGAACTGATTATGATTGAATAAAAAGCCTCTGTGTGTGTGTGTGTGTGTGTGTGTGTGTGTGTGTGTGTGTGTGTGTGTGTGTGTGTCTGAGCGTGCAACGCACTCAACGTACTCATCACAAAACAAGGTAAACGTGAACACACACTTAAAACAGGCAAACACACACACACACACACACACACACACACAGTGTGTCAGAGGGCAACACTATATTTGAGTGAGTTCTAATCTACTAAAAGCGGACTGGATCACCGGCATTAAGCTCAACTCTAAAACTCCAAAAGAGAAGTCGGAGTTTCTGTGTTCTGCAACACAGCAACTATGTTAGCACATAGCACACAAAATAACACACACACACACACACACACACACACAGTGAGTGCTAGTGGATCACAAAGACATGCAGCATTGATGAAATGTAATTTAAAGACAATAATAAACAGCACCGACAACCCAACAAATTCGGCCCCACTCATCGACTGGACTCGGGTTCGAGCCGGTGTGAGTTTTAGAAGCCAACAATGAGACAAACGTGTGATGCACAGGTAGTTTCTGCCTTGTGTGGTGAAGACGAGTGTGAATATCAGAGCACCACATATTCTTTATTCCCTCTCATCACATCGCTGCCTGTGGAACTAATCCACCTCCTCCTCTGCTCCCATCCATCCCTGCCTCTCGCCTCCTCTCTCCGTCGTCCTCCTCCCTTTTCTCCTCCAAGCAGAGGTGGGTTGTCGGCGTTGCCACGGCGACGGGCACAGCGGGAGCACCGGCGGCGGCTCATCCAGTGACTATGTTGGCGGAGAGTCGGCCGCGTCGTCGAGCAACTTCAGCGGTAAACTGTCAAAGCAGATACTTCGGGCAAGAAGTCACGGCGTGTGGGACGACCGTGTGCACGCGCACACGCGCACACACACACGCACCATTTTCATCTCACAGCCTACACACGGTGGATGATGTAATCTGTGTAATTCCTCAACAGCTTTCTATATACGGCTCCTCGGTAACCATGGCGGCAGGGGTCAACCGCTGCGAGAGGCTGGAACCGTTTACGCGGTTCTCAGCCGGTTTCGGGCTTCTGGTGGTGAGCTAACGAGCCATTACCGGGGGGGGGGGGGGCGGGGTAAGAGGGTAAGGGGGGGCATCCGGCCGTCCAACCCGTCTCCGTGCACACAGCCGCCCGCAACACTGCTTGTGATTAATGGCAAAGTAAGAACAAAAGTAAAAGCCGCACAAAAGAAAAAGGCAGCTGCAAGTGGGAGGAATCCAATTTAACATCTTCTGACTGGTGGAGCAGAGGATGTTGTGATTATACGTGGGAAGACGTCGCTTGACAAAAGAGACGCAACTGCACCGTGTGGGTTCGGGTTGAACCGGTTTCTCAGTGCAGGAAAGATGTTTGTTTCTGGGCAAATGAGAAATTCTAACTTTGAAGGTTTTTCACAACAACAGAAGTTAAACCGCGCGGTTTCTTTTGTAAGAATATTGTTCCTTGTTTGGTTCTAAGCACTGAGGAGCGGGACACACACCAGTTTCTTCATCCAAAATGGTTCCAATGGGTCTCTATATGTGACACTATAATACTATACTCCAATATATATAATATAATCTGTATTTCTCTTGAATCTTTGAATCCCAATGACTTTAAAACCAAACCGCACCAATGTTCAATCCACATTTCATACTAAGAGGATTTTGTTGGTTTCACCTGAAGTAAAGGTGACCCCCCCACCGGCTAAAAGCCCCCACAACATCTGTGTTTAAATATGCATTCAGCACCAGAAGCTGAGCAACAGCACAAAGTCATACAGCCAGAAGAGGTCACAGGTCACAGCTCACGGGTTCAACCTCAGACGGACGTGAGGCGGCATCTCAGGACCCGATTGGTGCAAACGCATCGCTCACCTGCAGCAGAGAAGCCGGTGAAACCAGCGCATCTTTTTGCTCCGCCTTCCACGTCCGACATTCATCATCGTTAAAGCTTTGCTCTCTCCAACGTCCTCGCCTCCGGGACCGAACCCCCCCCACCCCCACCCCCAGCGGGCCGGCTGCCTGCAGACTGGCACCACCAGTCGAGGAGTCACGCCGATCAACGTGACGGGCAGCCGGACACCTGACACACGACATCCGAGCTGTGTGTGTGTGTGTGTGTGTTATACGTCGGGCTGGAGGAGGTGGTGAGATCAGGTTTACCTGGTAGATGAACGCGGGTGAGGAACCTACACCTCCAACGAGGAAACCAAGCGTCAGAACGAAGGCAGCATAAAATGAAAGGGCGACATAGATAGATGGAGGTCACTTAGGATGTTGAAGTACACTAATTGTCCTTTTCTGGATAGAATTAAAAAATATCAATATCTATTAAGTGACAATTTACTGGGCCTTTATATTGAGGGTACCTCACTAAAAGACCATAATGCCCGGTATAAAAAGCACAATGGATGGTCCAACATTCTGTTGCGTCCTAACAGGTGAATGGGTTCTATTTTTGGAACATTACGTAAGAGAAAACCTGGCAAAAGGCGACCCGGAGAAGCGTGTTCGGACACACGAGCGTGTGAGGTCATGCTTTCACACGCAGCACACACAATAATCAAGGTTGTTTTTTCAGGAGGGGCATTTAGCTGAATGCTGGTGCAGCGCAGAGATGATACGGGGATTTAAAGGACAGGGCGAGTTTTTGTTTTTAGGCTTTTACCCTGATGGAGGATTTAATGCTTGACAGTTTAGGGGGGAGAAAAAAAAGCATTCCGGAGGATTTAAATGTCTCCTCCTCCTGCTGATGACATTAATAGATGTTCGGGAATGATAAAAAGAGTTTCCACAAGACTACGCTTTCCCAAATGTGCCCCTTGTTCGCTAAAACTTAAAAAAATGTGGGGTCCTAAAGTTAAGACGGACGACGGTAATCCACAAGGCGTTTCAGTGGAAGGTGGCTCCAGACGCTGGATGGGGATTAAATCCTCTGCAGATGACTCATCGACGGCAGAACACGGCTCACAACGCCAACAACGCCGTGAGCTCAGAGCCGCTGGACTTTCTCTCATCCTCACGGCTCCGTTTCTCATCGTCTCCACCTCCTCCCTCTCTCTCCTCTCTCGCTCGATTTGGGTCAGTGTGTGTGTGTGTGTGTGTGTGTGTGTGTGTGTCTCTGCAGGCCTCCTCGCGCGGGGCCTCAGGTGATTGGGGTGTGGTGGATGAAGGTGGATCACCGCGTGAAAAGACTCTGAAGCTCACACGGACGTTACGGGATCCAGCAGCGTTTGAGCATCTCACGAGGGGCCCGTCGCCGTTCAAATAACAGGAAACACAATCGCACAACCTTCACACACGTTTCATACAAATACATATGCATTGTTGAATGCATCCTGTCTCGACAAAGCTTTTGCAAGCACATATGGGTGTGCGTCCAGAGCGGCAATAACAGCAACTTCACACATAAGTGCTCGGCCAATCGAAAACGCACAAGACTCCTGGAGATTATTTTGTATTTTTCAAATGAAAATGACTCTTTAGATCGGATCAGATCTTCTGAGTGGCAACAATTTAACATTTAAACATTTGGTTCTTTTAAAAATTCAAAAACTCCGCAAAAATCTAGAGATACCCGGTTTTCACTTGGTGTCCAAAAGTGTGCTGGTGTTTTTAGGGGATCAGAAAAGCCGGCGAGCAGAAGCCGCGTGTAA